TGTAAACTCATGTTTCTTTCTTCCCCTTCATTCTCTCCTGGCAACTGCTTGGCCCACTCAGGCCAGTGTTTCCAGAATTGTCCTCACCACAAAGGAGGACAAGGCACTGCAAAAAAAAACCAAAAAAATGGAGGACATTCAAGAAAATGGAGGACATGACCAAATTCCTGGAAAAGAGGACCAAGTCTGGTCACCCAGGCTCAGGAGAATGTCTTATAAGTAATGGGAATGTGTTTGAAGCAGCTTTTAGGCAGTAGTGAGGGGTGGGGAATAAAGTTGGAGATGCGGGAGGAGGAAAATAGTGAACAAAGTATAAGTGGGAGAAAAGAGAATGGGAAGTATATACACTAAGTGTAGACAGTGAATGAGCACGTTTTGTCAGATTACTGTTATGTAGTGTGTGTGAGTGTGTGTTGTGTTTCTTCAAGTTGTTTATGACTTAAGGTGACCCTAAGGCCATCCTATCCTGTGATTTTCTTGGCAAGATTTCTTTGGAGGGGGTTTGCCATTGCCATCCTCTGAGGCTGAGAGAGAGTAATTTGCCCAAGGTCACTCAGTAGATTTCATGGTTGAACTGGGAATCAAACCCTGGCCTCCATAGTTGTAGTCCAACACTCAAAACAACTATGCCATCCATTCCCAGTGTACTTACTATTCACATATTAACCTCCATTAATACTTGAGCAGCTTGCCAGAGTTTTCTTATAGGTTACTAATTCTTCAGGGTACTGACATCAGAGAAAATATTTCATATTTGCTTTCTTCTCCTACCATATACTGCTTCACTGCTTGCAAGAACAGTCTTAATGTAGAAGTAGTTTAATGTAATCTGCAGTATACTTGTAGCATTAGATGTTTTGAATGTTTCTTTTTCAGATACTTCTAAACATCTGTGTTGTAGTTTCTTTCTGTACATATGTGAATAACATGCAGTTCCTAATGCTTTATCATTGTATTCTACTCTGAACCTGATAGAAAAAATGGAATATTGAAACTAGTTACTAAGACTGATGATGAGAGCTAACCTTTTTTCCCCCTTTCCACTTCACCTCTGTGGCTTTATACTGGAATGATGGCTTCTGCTTGTTCTGTTGTTTGCTGAGCGAAAAAATACTGGAAAAGATGTTGGAATAAAATTAGAAAGGTGAAGAGGAAGTGGGGATGAGTTGAGAAGAGAAACTGTAAGGGGAACAAACCTAATTCTGGAGAATTCTCACCCAGAACTGTGTATTGAGCACATTTCTCTTTATTTAATCTATAAATGAAAAGCAAGCCTCCAGGCTTATAGAAAATGGCAGTTCCCTTTACTTCAATAGATAGGGATACAAAATGGAGGGGATACAGAAAGTAGGGATTTTCGCTCCACTTCAAAATCTTTAGACATTTCTGATTTAATGTTGCACTCTTTTGGAGGGCAGTTTGAGAGAGAATGACTTGCCCAGAGCCATCTGGTTAAATCAGTGGCTAAGGAAATAGCATTTAGAAACTAAATGTAAGGACCACATGTTACAAACAAACTAAAATCACCAAATATTTTTAGCTCACTTTTCCATGAAATGTCCAAGATGGCTACAAACATATTAAATAAAAACAATAATGTTGTACAATTGAGACTGTTAGAGATTGAGAAAGGTAGACCACTGTGGTCAGCAAGCTCTAGAACAGGGGTCGGCAACCTGCGGCCCGTGGAGGCCTTGGGACTGGCCCATGGCTAGTCCTGTCGCCGTCCTGCGTGCGAGCGCCATTTTTGCATCCAAAATGGCGCTTGCGCATGCATGCGCGCGAACACGGACGCCATTTTGGAAGGCTGCAGCGTGCGTGCGCTGGACAAATTCGCCCAGAGCAGGCGCGCTGCGGCCTTCCCTGGGCCCTGGCAAGGCCCCAGCGTGCCTGCTTTAGGCGAATTCGCCCGACACACGCGCTGTGGCCTTCCAAAATGGCGCCCATGCTTGCACATGCATGTGCACGACGGCGGCCGCCGTGTGCATGCATGTGCGGGGGAAGTGCATGCATGCGCGCCCCCAGCCCCCGCACCATTTCCCCCTTTCCCCACCCCCCGGCAACAAATGTTGCCGACCCCTGCTCCAGAATCTAGTCCGCAGCATGGTGAAGGTCCTTTCCCTTGTCTCAAAATGAACAGATGCATTGGTGGGACACACAAGAGATGATTTGAAACAAGAAGTTTCATATTGTAGAAGGCAGTCTTTTGTGTACACTCACTCCAAACCATATGGAGCATTAAAGGTTATGACCAACACTTTTAATTGGGACCAGAAACAAATTGGAAACAATAAAGTTGTTTCAGCAGTTGTTCCAGTGGTTGACCACTTCTTTCTGGGCCAATTAGGTCCATGTTTCTCGGCATTTCTGTTTGAACTTTCCAGATGTTCTAGACCACAGCACCCATAATTGAAGGTTTTTGGCAGTGTCAGAAGTTCCCCACAGAGGTGCCCTGCAGGATGTAAGTAAGGCCCAAAATAGACGTGCAGGAAAGAGCAGCTTCCAGGCGCTTTGGGGGCGGGATGTGCTGACAACGCACAGCTCCAGAGCGGCTGGAAGCCATGTGGAGAGTGTGCCTGGCCAGGAAAAGCCAGCCCAAGAAGGAGCGGGGAAAGTCTGGGCCTGTGTGGGCCTGTTCAGGTCCGCCATAGTTCCACACCACGGGACAAGAATGGTCTCTGGCTGTTTCTTTTGCCTGTCTTCATGACTCCTCTAAGTAAGCATTCCACCACGCCCACACTTGCATTCCCAAGGAATGGGAGTAGATGGCACACCAGACTAAAGCTCTCCTTGTTTTGGCTGTTAGCTGAGCATTCAAAACTGAGGCTGAAGTTTTCAAGATATCCTATCTAACATAGTCTAACTCTAAACCCATATTTCCAGTTCCACTGATCATGTTTATGCTTCCATTGACCATGATTAAGCTTCAATTATGTAAATGATGCTTCATTTTAAAACATTCTGCAAATACCAATTCATACACATCCTGTATATAAACTCATCGTGCTGTTATCTCAGCTGAGATCCAAAACACACTGCAAAAGTAATCCAGTTTGAGACTGCTTTAATTGCCCTGGCTCAGTGCTAGGGAATCCTGAGAACTGTAGTTTACTGTGATTCCAGAGCTCTCTTAACAGAGAAAGCTAAATGTCTCACAAAATGACAGTTCCCAGAATTCCCTAGCATTCTTTCAGGACCATTAAAGCGGTCTCAAACTGGATTACTTTTGCAGTGTATTTTGGACCTGGAATAGCTATAAAGAATATTAATCAGTTATTGATAAGATTGGTATCCAATTCCTAAATATGCTAACTAATAGCCATTGTATAAAACCTTGCCATGTCTGGAAATAGCTTCTGAAAGCACATTTCAGAAGTAAAATGAGTTTTTAGAGATAGCGGCCAGAATCCAAAGGGAGACATCCTCTGATGGAACTGTTTCTGTCAAAAGGGAAAGGATCTCTGCTCCCCACTGTAGCCTCCCATATACCCTGAAATTTTATTCCAAAGGCCTGGAAATCTTCCCAATTAATTTTCAAAGGACACCCAAGACAACAGAGTCAAAAGGAGAGAAAGTGCAGTGTCTATATGACATTGGATCTAGTTTACCAACTGAATTTGGTCCCAGCAAGAGGACAGAATTCTTTAGAAATCTGGCTAGTTTGAGAGGAAGCAGACTGCTGATGCATCTTGCCCAGTCATTCCCAATGCCAGCAGAGGTTTCTCAGTGATCCACTGCCCTTCCCTTCAGGATTTCAGAATTCTGAGATCTGATACTTAGGCTTATTAGCTCTTATTGTCTTAAGCTAGAGAAACAAACCTATTTTTCCAGCTTGTTGTGGGTTGTGAGGAAACTACCCAAAATATTGAATGGAGACCATAATAAACAAACCATAATTAGTTGACCCATTCCAGGGCAACTAGCTTGTCACTATGTCCAAATGTACTTATTGAAAAGATATTATTTTCCTGCAAAATAATACGGTGCATAATTTCTTCTCATCTTACAAATTACTGTATATACTTATGTATAAATCTAGAAATTTTAGTCAGAATTCTAATGCAAAATACCTGGGTTAATTTATCCACGGGTCAGTATAAGTACTATATCTTAACTCTTATCAAAATAGGAACAATTCCCTTCTCTTAGTAGAGTGATGAAAGGCAAGAGCAGGGGTTGGCAACCTACGGCCCGCGGGCCGCACCTGGCCCGCGGACCCCCGCTGCTGCCA